CTTAATAAAAAGTGATATTCATCCGTGTAACAATACGATCATATTAGAAAAATTGCCTAATTGTTTTTACTATGGGTCTATATCGATATTTGTTACAATTAGTCGATCAATCACCCCAACATGGGCGTTATTTTGAGTAAAAACTCAAATTTTAAAATTGAGAGTTTCGAATAACGCCCATGTGCGTTATTACGCGCAAGTACGGTATTGAAATTGACTAAATAATTGATGAGATATCTTCTCAAAGTTTAGACGCGACTTCTACTGTATTTTGATAGAAGTTTTTTTTTTAAAGCTTCGAGCGAAGATATCTTGATAACCATCTAATCAAATTCTTTTATTTGAATTCTATAAAGATGTATAATTCATATAAACAAAAGTTCATTGAATTTAACCTGGTTGTTTTCGAGATATCTTCGCTCAAAGGTTTAAAAAATTTTAATTTACGGATTCTCTAAATTTTTAACGGATTTAATACAATATGGAGATTTTTCAATTAATATTACATGGATAATGACATATAGATAATAACTTCAAAATTTTTGACAAGCACTTTTGGTCAAATAAATTGTTTTCTTATATAAATATTTATTACAAAATGAGATAAATTACAAATTAATTAATAATCTTACAATTACTTTTATTAAGTCACTAATAATTATCATCTAAACTATCTATAATTAAAACCCATATAATATATCTATATTATTATAATTTTTCTATATTTATCTAAAATCAAATTAATAAGGTCAAATTAGCGCATTCTAATCTACATTATTAATAAAGTTAATAACTTATATTATAGTACAGTATAGTACCTGTAGCAATTATAACTAAATAGTATCTTCGACTCGCACTTGAATAATTTTGAAATTTATTCATTAGGTGGTTGAAGCTTCGGTCTCGCCTCGTCCCATGGCCCATGAATTTCACTATTTTGATATAGAAATCAAAGTTAATTTAGATTATTGATTATGACAAACAACAACACAAAAAAAAATTTACTTTTTATATTTTTGTATCCAAATTAACCAATATGGACAAGCAAATGTAATGAAAATGATACCCAAAACATATATTATAGCGACTACGTTTGAAATGTGTAAAAATAATGTTGTCGCTAAAATAAATAATATACAAGTTAATGCAACATTAAACTTTGCCGAAAGACTCTAAAAAAAGAGTATAAAGGGTGTAAGATTTAATGAATAAAAGAATTATTAGTTAATATATATTGATGGGGGAAGAAATAAAACATAAACAGATAGATATTTTGAGAATAATTACTTTTGTGTACCGACGAAAAATTGGAAATAGAGCAAACCATTCAACGGCAAATAACATCAAACCAAATACATGAGAATTTACTTCTAATCTTGATGCTAATAATACAGATGCAAAAATTGCAGCATTTGTTGATAAAGAACCCGGAAATCTGCAATAAATCAAAATAAATATAAAAATGCATCATAAAACCATGACTAAAATCCTTAGAAACGCATTTTGTGACTTACTTAATGTTCGTTCTATTTTCAGATCCATAATCATGAAATAACATATTGGCGAGAAATAGTATCACAGTCAATGCCCAAATAGTATCACTACTAGTGTCTTTCGTTAGTGTTTTTAGGATTGGTGACAATCCCAGTAGTGTCACAAAAAATAAAACAGCACCTTTGGCTGTTTTCCATCCTGTAAAATTAAATTGGTTAAATAGGAAAAAAAATCTATAATACAACATACTCTCGTTATAGTGATGTAGCTTATATCAAGAAAATACTAAATATACTTTAGCAATATCGAATTATCGAATCGAAGCTTAATAATTCCATAAATCAAAATTCTTCACTGTATTGGATCTTTATTATTTCGAGAGTTCATTACAACGAGAGTGCGTTGTATTCATTTTTCATGATAATAGAAATAATAAGTTTAAACTAACTTTTATATTCATATGCAGGATCGGTTTTTGATATACTCTTATCCCAAAATATATAACCTATAATAGTCAGTACCGTCCCACTTATAATTAAATTTTGTGCTGATAGTCTGCCCCAAAAAAGGTCTATGAAAACAGCAATAAATATAACAATGCTGCTTATATGTTGTGAAATAACAGTTGATTCCATAACGACAGTCCAATAATCGTATGCTCTAACGTTGACTTCAATATATAAAATATTCGAAATTAAATAAATAACTCGAGAGATAAGTTAAAGAAATTAGCTAAACAAACCATTTTTTTGTAATTCATCCAAGAAAGTATCATCCACATGGTCATCTGGATAATCTTGCTTTATCCATAATAATTTCCGCCATGGCGGTTTCTTTTCACTTTTAGATGATGAATTTTTTAACAAACTCTACAAATCAAATCATTATTAATTTTTATTACAAAATATTCGATGAATAAAAATTAAATCGATTTCATGCATACCCTCGCACGAGATCTATACAATATTCGTTCATCCAAATCATAATTTAGTCAGCGAAACAATTGATATATATAATAATAATAATAAAATTGAAGTCATTATTATATTTCATATTTTTACCTATCAAAGTCACAAAATTTACACTTTGTATCTTCTTCAAAGAATTGATAACCATCGAAAGGGCAATATGTTATTGTTATTTCGACCATTAAAAATTATGTAATAAATAAATAATAAATATATATATAAATACTAATAATTTTTTTTTTTAGAAGACCAACATTTGGGCTGCTTATATTAGTAAAATTAGCAAACTAGTAGGAACAACGTGATATGATGTATGTATGCTATATAATATCGTACAACTGTACAACAGTTTCTTTGAAACCATTCGGTGTTACCCCTGGCAGATCACATGCCAAAGATCGGTAACGTGCGTTAAATATCTTAGGAAATTGTTTCCCTCTGTAATTTTTAAGATCAGGGCTATGGTTAGGGCAGTAGAGTTTCTAATGGTAAATTTCGCGAGGAGCATTTTTAATTAGGCCGCAGAAGTGATTTCTTAATTAAAATTTTGAGTTATTTCTGGTTTTTTTTGTAAAAAAAATGGTTTCGTTTCGATTGTTTATGTTACACCTGATCTGTCAAAAATCACGGGAGGGAACAATTTTTGCGGGTGCGCCAAATCCAGGGACGCAGAAAACCACAGAATTTCTCTCAAACTACAGAAAACACCCTTAATTACCACAGAATACAGAATACCACAAAATTCTAAAAAAGTCACGGAATTCTAAAAAACATAGCGCAGAATATCACAGAATTCTAGAATATTGCGGTACTTGACCACAAATTCGCGTCGACGCTGGAAATTCCGGAAAGGTAGACAATAAATCAACATAAATTACGAGCATGTTGGGGAGTTACGGAATTATATGTTTAAAAAAAAAATTAGATAAACGCATCAAAACACAGAAATTAAAGAATAACTGCACAGAAATTATAAAATCACACAGAAATTGGTTAAAAAATTTATCACATTAAATCACTGAATTTGTCTTAACCACATACAGAATTTAGTCTTAGGGTGCTCTCAAGCATCTTCCTGAGTGTGAATAGAAAGTGATTGAGATGACGCACAATCATTACAATCAATGAATATAAAGATTGCGATCAATGATTGAGTGAACTCTTTTAATATTACGTTTATCATGTCTCCAACAAACAAAAAAAAAAAAAGCAACCGTTCAACAAACAAAAAAAAAATATTACCATTACCGACAACTTCAAATGTATCTGTTCCAACTACTTCAAGTGTTTCCGCTACTTCTTTAGCAATTCCAAATATGCCGTAACTATATTAATAATTATAAAAGTTATGGCAAACATGCCGTAACTTTTTATAATTATTTAATATAGTTATGGCACATTACAGAAAAGTTAAGGCATTATTGGGACGATTCACCTGCACCTCTGATGATGTAAGTATTTTATTTATATAAATAATTAGTTTTTTCGTTGAGTTTTCTTTTTTAATCAAAAATTATACGTACAATATAAAAAAATAATGTCTAACAACATCGAAACTTATTTTCCCAAAAAAAAAGCGCGCCTAAATTTAACATTAAAAATGCTTCTCTCGAAGAATTAGATGATGAGCAAGCCCGTATACGAATCTATTCGATTATTACGAAAGCAATCTACAAAGATCGACGACGAAAAAAAACTACGAAAAGAAATAAAATTCGACCTGAAAAGAAAACAATTAAAGGCGAAATTAAAAACAAAATTATTTTTTATCGAAACTATGGAAGAAGTTGAGAATACTGAACGTATTAATATAGAATAGTTTTTTTTATTTTGCATGTAATTAGTTTTTTTTTATAATTTTTATTACAATAATAAATGCTTGTAATCTCACTCTATGATAAATTTTGGCCAATCTATAAAGAAAAAAGATGGTCACTAACCATCTTTTTTTTTTTGACTGCGGTAAGGCGCTTGAGAGCACCCTTAATCACCACAGAAAATCACCGTCCCTGGCCAAATCCTGGTTACGGAATATTCAATTCCGTTATAACCCTATTTTGGGGTTTCTTAAAGCAGGGCAGATCATATGAACCAAATTGCCAAAAAAAAGAATCTTTGGAAAATCAATTTTTATGTTATAAATTATAAGAATATGCAAACTTTAAAGAGCTATGCTGCAAAATTTTGTTAATACAATACTTTTGTGCTTTAAGTGAAAAATAATCCTAATCTTATTCTAATTGATTTATGTAAAAAAAAAGGTTCTTTTTAAAAAAATTGTCAATTTGGTCCTTCTAGCTCATATGGTAATTAACCATTCAAATTACAAAAATTTGAATTATTCCAACGAAGCAAATAAAGATATCGTGAAAGTAATTAATTTATAGGGTATACGAGTCTGGTTTAAGTCTGGGATGCACGAAAATAGAAATGTGTCAAATCAGATTTAAATTTTATTATCTTGAAGCTCTCATATAATTAATACGTATAACATCCTTAAATTTTATTCAGATTTTAAATAAATATAAATTTTATAGTTTATGGGAAGCTAGAGATAAAAAGCCAATAAGATTAGTCTCGAATATGAAAGATAAAAATTCAGACACTCAACCTTTAATCTTAAAGTTAGATTTTAGAAAGTAAGTATATGATATAAATAAACCTATTTTTTTAAAATTTAGATTCATTTTTTATGCTTTATCCATATAACACAAGATATAAGTATTAAGATTATTTTCAATAAATTTTGCAGCATAATTAAGTGGTAAATAGAACCTTTTATTAAGGTCACCTTTAGCTGACTGTTTTTAGCATTTAACATATAACTAATAAATAAAAATAAGATATTTTATTTTATTTTATTTTTAATGAAGCTTTGAATTCTAAAACTTACGATGGTTAGATAAAAATTAGTGGTTCTATGTTTGACTTCAAAGTCTTAAGCTGAGCCATTTTTAGAGTTGATCCTTTATTAGTAGACTTGAGGATAAGCTGATGATTAGTTCAGCTTAGCCGTTTGGCTTGCAGCTCAGCTCATCACTATGTGTATACTCTAGTGTTCTAAATCGTAATAATTACAGTAAATGCATTATTTGTTCAGTATCTAACGCTTTAGTTAATACACAAGTGATTCATTATTATCTTCTTATGTAATAATGTAAATGCATTTATCTAATTAAATTTGCAAGTGATAAGTAATTGGTTAATCTGCTCAAATAATTTCAAGATCGTTCTGTATGATTTGACATTCGGGGAAAATTGAATTTGATCCCAACTATCCCGTGTACAATACATTTATTTTAGTAATATCTGTGTAGTCGATAGATCAATAAAATAATAAAAATACCGTAAATTCTCAAAATAACGGGCATGGGTGTTATAACCGTAAATTTTCATATACAAGACCCGGGTCTGTTTCATCCACCAATTTTTAAACCCTTTAGTAGAATCGGGGTAGGGATGGCAAATGTTTTAAAACGTGATTTTAGAACTGATGATTGTTTTATTTTTAATTGTTTAAAAATGGTTTAAAATGTTTTTTAATCGATCTAAAGAATATAGCGCTTAATACTGGACCCAAAATTTACTGGCCAAAATGCAATAATTTTAACTTCAGTTAGATTCGATGTTTTAAAACTTTTTTTAAAACAATTAAAAACATATAAAAAATGTCTTAAAACGTTTTTTTACCATCCCTAACTCGGGGGTCCAGTACTTAAGGATTGGAATCGGTTTAGTCGACTAAAAAAATTTTTATAGTAAGCTATTATGTTTAGTCGACTAAACCGATTCCAATCCCTACTAGCACTCGCCAAGAGGTTACATCATGAAAAGAAAAAGTTTAAAGTGCATACACACTTTGTATTTATAATAGGCATTTTAACTATGAAAAAAACCGCATTTAATTAATAAGGATCGCGGTCTACTATTTTGGGCGATCTTGTATATGAACTTTTACGGTATGAATTTTGGCCCGAATTAACCTTAATTTAGGCCAATTTTCGTAATTTTACCCTGTGAGTTCGAGAATTTACGGTAATAATAATAATAATATCATAATAATAATAATAAAATAAGAATAATATAATAAGAATACGTAATAATAATAATTATTATAATAATAATAATAATAATTCGCCATGTTTATATACTTCAATTTAATGATTAGACCCGAGTAGGTGCCACCGGCTCACCCGCGGGTGGACGGATAACCCGGGTGGAGTTTTGGCCACCCGGGTGCCCATGAACAATAATTGCAATTGCGAGACGCAAGACTTTACTAAACTTCAATCCAAATATACATTTGTATGTATATTAATTGCTTGCTTTTCTTTAAAAAAGAAAACTTTTCAAAACCGGATTTTATATTAGACTAAGGGTGTTCTCAAGCACCCACTCAATGGATCGGAGGTAAATTTTAAACGTTACCATACAAACCATCTTTTTTTATTCAAAAATTTACCATTGATAAAGGACGTTCAAGAATTACTTAGCATTTTTTACGTATCAGGCATAATAAACAATGAATTCTTAGTAAATTTCTACCCGATCTAAAAAAAATTACTATTTTATTTTTGATTTAAAACAAACTGTATACCAAGGATATAACTATAACTTAGAAATATATTTGTATATACAGGTATGCATAATATTGACCCGGGTGACTCATGAGTCCACCCGACGGGTTGCTTTTTTAACCCACCCGGTTTCTACCCGGGTGGCTCATGGGTGACTCGGGTGGCATTTTTTTTGACGGGCCCAATCACTACTTCAATTACATATATTTTTAAGATTTATAGTGTTCCAATAATTAGTTTAATATCAACTATACAACTGTATCGATTAATCAATTAATTTTTCACGTGATACCCGTAATTGGCAACTATTTATAGTGAGTGGCCTAAACGCGACAGAAAAATTATGTAATATGAATCATTTTGTGTCATTATCTATGTATTCGCGAATACTTCTTCAAAACTTACACATTCTTTTATTATACATTTCTGCTTTTACCATTGAAAGAAGAGCTTTACTTAATGCACATGCTTAAACACACACGAAAATTTTTACCTACTGTCAAACAGTTGGCTAGAAAATATTCTACTCCTAGTAAAGGTAATAACAGTGTTATAAATTTATTAAGGTGTAAATATGTAACATAACTTTTTACTTCATAAAATTAGGAGATTCGCTTGCTACGTCCCTTAAAGAACCTGATATTATTCACTATGGCACCTTCATCGGAACAGGAGCTAGTTCTATATATGATCTTGGGCTTACTAATTTTTACTCCGTGAAAAATGGTATTGACCAAGGTGAAACTATCACTCCTCCCTTCTAATGAAACTATTTCTAATGAAACTATCACTCCTTTCTTCTGGAGAACCTACTACAATCCCCTCATCTCATACATCTCCACATACTTCTCTGGATATACTCTTTCTCATACATCTCCACATACTTCTCTGGATATACTCTTTCTACATCATGGCAACCTTGCCTTACCCACATATGGTATCTGAAGTACCATCGAACGTTCACTTATACCACTTAATGAGGTGTTGAAGTAGATTTAATGAAGTTAATAAGTTCACCTTTACTTTTAGAAGAAATTGAAGAAATCTCCACTATAACTGAAATCAATACAAATGAAGGGTGGCATTCTACTTATTTGATACTTAAATGGCTAATTCAAATTAAGATAATATAAAAGAAATTTTTTTCGAATTCAAGGATTGGGAAAAATCAAAGAAATAATAGAGATTCTTGAGTCATCCTATAATAATAACCGATAAGTACAAAATTACTAAATTTTAAGTATCCCATTCAAATATAGAAACTTGATAAACTTGATAAAAAGGTTGAGAAACTTGGTGAGAGGGTTGAGAAACTTGATAAGAAGGTTGAGAAACTCGACGCAAGCATCAGTTATGTGAAAGTGGTGGCTTCAAGAACAGCGAACCCAGTGATATCTCATCACGTGATTAAACACTCGGCCTAAGTTAGGGTAGTGTTAAAGTTAGGTAATATCGATATTATAGTTTAGGCCGATTTGTTAGTGCTAGTAAACAAATGTCACTATTCTTGAAATTGAATTTTAACAATAATACGTATCACACCATCTGTATCAACTAAACTACATCCATTTTATTGATTTACCCGAATAAATGTCCAGTCCTTTATTCTTAATTTGTGCACAATTGACTAATACCACGATAATTCCTTATGATGACCGTGTTGAGCGCCACAAGTGTTTGCTCTTCAAAGGAGCGATGAAAACAAAAGATCATATGTATGTAGAATTACAAGTGGAATCAAAATAACAGTACAATAACCATTCACACGATTGTGTTAAAATAATAAATGGCAAGGCCATCAGACTCCTTTATTTAATTGCCAGAACAAAAATATACAAATAAAAATAAATAATAAATATATAGTACTTATTTCCCCAGATGAACGGGATGTACGTTCCTCTTATTCCTGCTGTTGCGTGAAATTTATACGCCTTTATTTTTTTTACCCATGAATAATATTTAGTTAATCACGGGTTTTTATATCTAATAAAAACAAAATAGCCAATAATATTATACCTCTATGGGGTTCGTCTTTAGAAGAAATTGATTCTGTTTTAAGTATTCGTTTAAAAAATAGGTATTCTACCCTAGCTGAAAGAAATAATTTTATTTTAGGATTTGTCGAAGCAGTTGAAACCGTATTCGATTGGACGAGACGAATACCAATAGTAGGGTGGATTCCTGATCATACAGGATATCATAATGCTAAATTACATAGAATGCGTTTCGTAACGTCGCAAATTGTTAAGGAAGTAATCAAATAAAACCGTATTTTTCTTAGTTATTACATTCTTTGTTACAATTCTGTAATTTAGTTATACCAATAAAGTTTTTTTTTGAATTTTATTATACATGCTAATTATCATAATATCATCCTTACATGGGCTAATTCAGATTTATTTGAGATTATAATAGATTAGTCAGATCAAAGTTTCATTATTTCCTGCAACCCCGGTCATCTGGGAGCCCGAAGGGCCCACAGATGTACCGGTCGTAGCGGCGAAATAAGGGTATCATGTTTTTATAGGAGTTTTATGACTCATAATCACTACTTTAATTAATAAAAAAAAAACAGAGTTTTAAGTTATTTCCCCGGAAGTCCGGAAATAATTTGCATTGCTAAAAGCTCGGGGGTTTTTTTTATTAAAGTGATTATGAGTTAAAACCTCGTCATGCGATCATATAGAAATGTAGAATAATAAATAATATATTATCTCAAAAATAGAAATATATACCGTATTTTCGCGCAGGGATGCAGTTTCTAAAATTGGCCCAAATTAAGGCTTATCGTTATGGGCGTTATTATGCGAAAATACTGTAAGCCTTTTTCTACAAAAAAATTTGATACTTCTTTTACAAAACGAAAAAAACTACATATTTTTATACCTTATTAGACTTTAGAACCTGTTAGAAAAAAAATTACACAATTAGAATTACGTTACCCTAACACAATGCCAGATTCTTTTTTTTTATAAGCAACTACGTTCGGCTATAAGTTAGATCTGAACGATCACGAGATTGCGGAGATTCCGAGTCCCTGTAACTTATGAATTTTGATAAAACTACTTATAAAGAACGTTATAATCTTTCCTCCTATAACCCTTTTAAGTCCCATTCGTGCTTATTCTTATCGGGGATCATATATAATAAGAGAGAGGTTCCTAGGGGTGGCTTAATAAAATTTGGAGCAATTGAACAAAAATAGGTCAAAAAAAAATTAAGCGTTCAAATATGAACGCTTGACGGTTTAAGGGATAATAATTATTGTTAGCTCTAAGGAGTAATTTTTCTAGTTAAAATCTTTAATAAAAACATTAATAGCAAAAATCTCACATGTAACTTATTTATCGTTAACGTTTATTGTAATTTCGGTCGTAAACGGCTTTTTGATGAATTGATCATACATGATTAGAGTTGCCTGCTGTAAGGTTGCAATTTTGCGAATCCATTTTTGCTGCAAAAAGACGTAAGGTCGCAGAATCACAAAATCGAAAGTCTATGTAATGAATATCAAAATTTGCAACATTTCAAACTTTTTAAATATAAAATTTGATGATAAGTCGCAACCCCAAGTGCACCATAAAAAAGCCGCAGTTAATATTAAAAGCAATCAATATATGATCGTATAATTTAGTATATGATTTCTAATTATCGAAATTCTTTGTGTAGTAAACGTTCTCTCTTTGATGCTAGAAAAGGTCCTAATTTTGCGAAATGGTACAAAGTATTGAAGTACTCTAAATGAACTGTAAATAATTGGCTCTATGAACTTTGCCCAATATAAGATTTCTTTTGATAAACATTAATTAATTAATGCTAGGTTTGCGTAACTCGAATTATGCATCTTGCAAATTTGTTTATAAGAGATTTTCAATGCTGTACATCTTTTAAATGACCAAAGATTGCGTTAGTTGATCGAAAAAGCAAACATTAAGGAGCATTAATTGAGTTGGTAAAATTCATATTTAACTGATTTTTTTTGATTTTTTATATAATTTTCGAAAACTAACTCGATCAAAATTGAAAATTTATCATTTTTACGCATTTTGTTATCTCAAATAATTTTTTTTGAAAATTACTCACAAATTTCTTCAAGACGGAGAGAACAAAGAAACTTTGGGATAGTTACAGAAGTAGGAAGTTTAGGTTAAAACAAAAATCCTCACCTACCGTCAACACATTCCCTCCTCGAAAAAAACTAAATGCAATGTCAACACCAGTCACAGTACTATACGAAAAAAACCAAGTTTCGTGTTCTGTTGATGTATCTCAACCCATAAGCGATATTATAAAGACATTATGTATAGAACAATTTAATATTTCGGAACCTCCTAATTTACTCGCATTAAGGCTTCAAGATACTGATGAGTTAATCACTGATGAGGTATTTATTTTAAAGTGTATGCTAGGTAAAACAAAATAATGAGAAATTATTAGTATATAATAAAAAAATGTCTATTAATTAGAATATCAGGCGAAAAATAACAGAAAATGAAAGATTGAAACTTGTATCTTCACCGCTTATTGAAGCTGCCGATATATGTGAAAAATTGGGTTCTACTGATGATAAAACTTTAAAGCTTTCAACATTTTCACTTCAAAAATATATAAAGGTATAATTATGTTAAAATGTCATAAATATTATATTGCGTAAATAATTTACAATGCTTATTATGTGATTACGTAATTAATAGGAAGTAGAATTCGCCGATGAATTTTTAAAAAAGGATGGATTAAAATATTTAATTGAAATAATAAATAATTCCAGTGGTAATACATTAGCATATGCGCTAACATCAATGCAAAACCTTATGGAACATGATCATGGTTGGGATGATTTAGGTTCAGATTTTATAAATAAGGTTTGTTACTTATTATATTACAATATAGTGCTTTATTAAATTTACGTATATTAATTGGTAGAAATTATTTTATAGGTGATAAAAATATTGGTAGATCAAACACTTGTAAACATATGTCGGCCAGCAACTGCCATAATTATAAAATTAGTCACTGCAGATAAAAGTTCCACTACTTCACCAATACGGTCTTATGGATTTGATGTATTGCATGAAGCGATATTACTTCAACCCAATTTTCTGCCTACTTTAGTGCAACGCTTTGCTTCTGCTGACTATGTGTTACGCTCAAATAGTTTATGTTTGATTAATGCACTTATGAGACATGTTACAGATCAGTATTGGGAATCATTTATGGACATGTTGGATAAGCTGAATGTTAGAAAAGCTGTTGTGGTATGTTTAAAATTTGAATACTTTTAGTAATAATTTGTAGGAAATCGGTTATTTTATATTCTTGCTTGAACTAAATAATATACTTATTTGATTTTTTTTTAGCTTTTGATGAATGGAGTTCATGGGGAAGAATTATCAAAACATTTATTAGAATTTCAATCGTTATTTGTTCGACAAGCATATAGATGGAAAAGGACACAAGTATCATTACATATTCCGTCACATAAAATTATGCTAGAAGAAATTTGGAAGTCTGCAAATTTACCTGAAGAAGGTGGTAAATGGAGAAAAGTCGGATTTGCGGTAATGAATTTGAAATTTTAATTATTTAAATAATGTTGCTTTCTTAAATGCTGTACTAATACACTTGTGTATAACATATAAGACGGAAGCGCCAAAATGGGAAATTCAACGCGTTGGGTATTTAGGACTTGATAATATGCATGGGTTTATGAAGAAAAATACAGATGAATATCAAAAAGTAAGATCAGATCGCTAACATTTGTTAGCTAAAGCTTTTGTACATACCGTTTACCACTATATTTCTAAGGTTGCAGATATTAGGTCATCAAATAACAAAAAGCATTGACACGTGGATACTACTACATGATATGATATAAGAGATAATCTGTAAAATGATTATGTATCATACCTAGAGTCTTATTCATGATTTGAATTGGGCATTATATTTGGGTATAAATTAATAAATAATTAAGCCTGCATGGGTGGTGCAATGTTAATCGAAAGTTTCCAATCAAATTTATTGGAATTGATATTCCAATAAAAATATTGGATAACATTGGATAACATTAGAAAATTATATTGGAAGATTTCCAATACACACTTTTTTAACCACCGATTTATACAAAGCTTTCTTTTTAATACATCTTCCAATAAAAGATTAATAATTAGAGGGCATTATTATTGGAAGATCAATGCTTTCCTACCTTTCAATCAACAATGCTGGTACCAGAGTCTTAATCAGTGAAGTATACTATTTCATGTGTATACTATATATTGTGGTAAACGGTAACTGTTAATATCTAAAAAGGGCCTACGATAATATCTAAATGTCAGCTCAAAATTTAAATTATCGTAACTATATCAACTGATTAGCATTCATGTATTTAATGATTTACGTGTAGACAATATTAGAACAAATCAATCGACCTACCGAACGTCGATGCCCGTTTGCGAAGACATCCATCGAAGTTACGGAGTTGCTATGTGATTATTGGGACGTTAGTACAGGATGTAAGAATTGCCTGTATTTCATATATCATCGTATAGTATCCTCGTTATATCTAAATTTTAACAATTTTGAACATATTTTGAAGATACGACATCAACGTCATTTCAGCCTTTATTGTTATCGTTTGATAAAATTCACTATATAACCGTAAAAGCATTTTTCCGGTTATGGAACGATATGGAAGCGACAGTTGATGATTTTCCCAAGGTATCTGCATTGGTAAGAAGTCAACTAAAATATGCGCTACGCGACGAAGCGACAAAACAACTTTATGAATTCGAAAAGGACATGTTGGAAGTTGAATATAAAGTTATTAGAGATAGGCAATTAAAAGAATTAGAACTCGGTGATGATCTATTAAGTAAAACGCCTGTCAGGTTAGTAATAAATAATCCATTATGTATATTCATTCGAAATAAAAATGTTTATATTAATTTTTTTTTTTGAAATAGAAATCTACGAGAACAATTATATACAGAATCTTATGAATTCGTTAAGCAACAACGTATTAAATGTCTGCTACTTGGTGATTGGTTCCCGTTAATAACACCAGCAAGTCTTTCAACAAACCAACAAAACTTAGGTAGAAGATCTATTTACAATAAAAAATGGAGATTTTATAGGCTTAGTCCAAATTTAAAATCTCTTCATTATAGTGATTTTTCAGAGAAAACTTTTATAAGAGATGGTGTTGAAGAGTTACCCGAAAGAAGTAAGTTCTTTTTTTTTTTTTTTTTTACAAATTTAAACGTTGTTTAAATTAATTCCGAATTTTGATTATTTTATTTTATACTACAATAAAAGTTGATTTAACTCTAGTAACAGATGTGATGACGGGCTTAACGCCACAAATATCAGGTTCACCGACGAGAAAATCTGTTGGCCTATCACAGGATCTAACATTCTCTTTAATGTCTGGACCTGATACTATACTAGCGGATTTTATGGCATCAGATTATACACAATTTTCAGAATGGACTGATGGATTGAACATGTTATTTGATAAAAATATTGGAAGCAAAGATACAGCAGAATTCATACAGATTCTGACAGAAATTGGAGTAAAGGTTAAATTGTTGGATTTGAGTGGTGAGAAAGTTGAAATACCACAAGGTGTTGAAGTACCTAGGGAATTACCTGTTGTTGATAATGGATTTTATTATGGTGACCCTTTTTCATAATATATGGTTCGATTTATTAGTGTAACAAATTAATTTATATATAAGTAGAAAATTTTAGTCCTCAGATTTGAAAATTAATTTACATTTCTTATTAATTTTTTATTACATAATTATTAGATATAATTATTATTGTATACATTTTTTAGTTTTAGTTTGTAATCTAAAATGATTTAGAGTTTATGGGATTATTATTATTGTATAACTATTTTTTTTTTTTTATCAAAAATCGAAACATTAATCAAAGGCGTGCAATTATGGTAATCTGAGCTTCTCATGATTAACTTCCATCTTTCTTCAATAAATATCAGTTACAATTTATTTCATTTTTTATAAATATGACTTATAATTAGTTTTTGCCAGAATGTTTATTAATAATTTCTGAAAAATCATAACCAACATTATTAAATTATATCTATGCGTACCGAAATCCAATCGGTATTAAGTAATGATAACACGTCAAATTTTACTGGCGAACTTAGCCCTTGAAAAATTGATTATTGGTATTGATTATCTGTGGTTTGGTTTTTTCATCTCCGCTAGGAATCTAGTCCTTAGCTTCTGGCGCGTATTTAATTTGTAAATTATAATTATTTTGTATATTGTTAAAAATCACAATTGTTTTTATTCAGATCAAAAGCAACACTGTTTTATTTTTAATGAATTGCTTTATTTGTCAAAAGTAGCTAATACATGTGAAAAAAATCTATTTATTGTAATGTTTAAAAATATTCCTCTATATGTTATATTGGTGTTAAATAAATGGTTAAATTCTAGAATATAAAATACAAATTTAAATGTTATGACGATAATATTATCATTTTTATTTTCTATAAATTATTGTTATTGTTATTAACAGCAAATGGATGTGTTAAAAGTGCTTTAGCAGTCGGTCGATCATCTTGATTTCTAATAAGAAAAAAAAAAATAAATCGTTAAATTTTTTTATTGCATTTTGAATAATAAATTTATATATCATCTAATAACGTACGATTCAAATGTTTTGCTCAAGAAATCCTGTGCCTCTTCGGAAATATCATCCGGAATTTTAGGCGCACAAGCTTGTAATCCAATCTATATTTACATAAGTCAATTAAAAAAAAATCCAATTTATATATAAAAATTTTATAACGTTAATAAATTGATACCTTAAACATTGCTTGCGTTTGGTTAAATTCTGGAAAAGGATGATCCCCAGTAAACATTTCAACAATCAAACATCCTAAACTCCATATATCAGCTTTACTTGT